TTCCCTTCCCCTTCTCCCCTTTTCCCTTCCCCTTCTCCCCTTCTTCCTTTATCTTCTCCCCTTTTCCCTTTAATTTTCTCCCTTTTCCTTCCCCTTCTCCCCTTTTCCTTCATCTTCTCCCCTTTTCCCTTCACTTTCTTCCCTTTTTTCTCTTTAATTTTCCCCTTTTCCCTTTAATTTTCTCCCTTTCCCTTCCCCTTCTCCCCTTTTTTTCCCTTCCCCTTCTCCCCTTTTCCCTTCCCCTTCTCCCCTTTTCCCTTCCCCTTCTCCCTTTCCCTTCCCCTTCTCCCGTTTTCCCTCCCCTCCACAGAAAGTGGAACCTTTCAGCGTCCCCTCCAAAAAAGTGGAGCTCCCGGCCAAGAAACCGGAGCCGGCGGCTGCCGAGGAGGAGGAGGACAACGACGACATCGACCTTTTCGGGAGCGACGACGAACAGGAAGACCGGGAAGCCGCCAAAGTTCGGGAAGAGCGGCTCCGGCAGTACGCGGAAAAGAAGGCCAAGAAACCGGGAATCGTCGCCAAGTCCTCCATCCTCCTAGATGTGAAGCCGGTGAGTGCCGGGAATTTGGGAGCTCTGGAGCCAGGTTGGGAATCCTCTCCCTTCCTTCTCCAAGGGGACCTGCAGAATTCCAAACCTTGGAGCCGGGCGGGATGTTCCCACCGGGATGTTCCTGCTGGGATGTTCCTGCCGGGATGTTCCCGCCGGGATGTTCCCGCCGGGATGTTCCCGCCGGGATGCGTCGCCTTCGCGCCGTGGAATCCTGGGATGGTTTGGGGTGGGAAGGGACCTTAAGGATCATGGAATTCCATCGCCTTCCATGGGCAGGGACACCTCCCGCTATCCCAGGTGGCTCCAAGCTGGCCTGGGACACTTCCAGGGATGGGGCAGCCACAGCTTCTCTGGGAATTCCATCCTAGTCCCTCACCACCCTCCCAGGGGAGAATTCCTTCCCAATACCCCATTCCTCCCCAGTATCCCATTCCTCCCCAGTATCCCATTCCAATATCCCATTCTTCCCCAGTATCCCATTCCTTCCCAGTATCCCAGTCCCTCCCAGTATCCCATTCCTTCCCATATCCCATTCCTTCCCATATCCCATTCCTTCCCAATATCCCATTCCTTCCCAATATCCCATTCCTTCCCAATATCCCATTCCTCCCAGTATCCCATTCCTCCCCAATATCCTATTCCTTCCAATATCCCATTCCAATATCCCATTCCTCCCCAATATCCCATTCCTTCCCAGTATCCCATTCCTTCCCAGTATCCCATTCCTTCCAGTATCCCATTCCAATATCCCATTCCTCCTCAGTATCCCATTCCTCCCCAGTATCCCATTCCTTCCCAGTATCCCATTCCTTCCCAGTATCCCATTCCTTCCAGTATCCCATTCCTTCCCAATATCCCATTCCTTCCAATATCCCATTCCTTCCCAGTATCCCATTCCTTCCCAATATCCCATTCCAGTATCCCATTCCTCCCCAGTATCCCATTACAATATCCCATTCCTTCCCATATCCCATTCCTCCCCAGTATCCCATTCCTTCCCAGTATCCCACCTAACCCTCTGGCAGTGGGAATCCATTCCCTGTGTCCCATCCCTCCATCCCTTATTCCCAGTCCCTCTCCAGCTCTCCGGGAGCCCCTTTGGACACCGGAAGCTGCTCCAAGCATTCCCTGGATCCTTCCCTTTTCCAAGCTCCGGTGAAACCAGCCGGGAAAGGGCTCTTTGGATCACCCGGATGATCCCAAGAGGTGTCCTGGTGTAAAGGAAAAAGGGGAAGATCCTACGGAAAAAGGACAGGAAATCAAGGAAAAAGAGGATCGCTACCGAATCCCGGGAAAACACTTGAACTTCCCGCTTTTCCCGCCTCTTTTCCCAGTGGGATGACGAGACGGACATGGCCAAGCTGGAGGAATGTGTCCGTTCCGTCCGCATGGATGGGCTGCTCTGGGGAGCTTCCAAGCTCGTGCCGGTGGGATACGGAATCCGGAAACTGCAGATCCAGTGCGTGGTGGAGGACGAAAAAGTGGGAACGGACATCCTGGAGGAGGAGATCACCAAGTTCGAGGACTACGTAAGGCCGGGAGTGGGAGAAGAGAGGGAGGGTTGGAAAACCGGGATGTGTTTTCTTGGGAATGCCTGGAATTACCTGGAGGATTTGTCAGAGTGGGATAAGAGAGGGAGGGTTTGGAAAACCGGGATGAGTTTTCTTGGGAACGCCTGGAATTACCTGGAGGATTTGTCAGAGTGGGATAAGAGAGGGAGCGTTGGAAACCGGGATGAGTTTTCTTGGGAACGCCTGGAATTACCTGGAGGACTTGTCAGAGCAGGATAAGAGAAGGAGGGTTTGAAAATTGGGATGTGTTTTCTTGGGAATGCCTGGAATTACCTGGAGGATTTGTCAGAGCAGGATAAGAGAGGGAGGGTTTGAAAACCAGAGTTTTCTTGGGAATGCCTGGAATTACCTGGAGGATTTGTCAGAGTGGGATAAGAGAGAGAGGGTTTGGAAACCGGGATGTGTTTTCTTGGGAACGCCTGGAATTACCTGGAGGACTTGTCAGAGCAGGATAAGAGAAGGAGGGTTTGAAAATTGGGATGTGTTTTCTTGGGAATGCCTGGAATTACCTGGAGAACTTGTCAGAGTGGGATAAGAGAGGGAGGGTTTGGAAACCAGGATGTTTTCTTGAGAATACCTGGAATTACCTGGAGGATTTGTCAGAGTGGGATAAGAGAGGGAGGGTTTGAAAACCGGGATGTGTTTTCTTGGGAATGCCTGGAATTACCTGGAGGACTTGTCAGAGCAGGATAAGAGAGGGAGCGTTGGAAACCGGGATGTGTTTTCTTGGGAATGCCTGGAATTACCCGGAGGGCTCGGATCTCATTCCAGGTGCAGAGCGTGGACATCGCTGCCTTCAACAAGATTTAGATGGAAAACTGGGATCTTTTTCCCTCCGAAACGGGAATAATAAAGCTGAAGGTTGGAAGTGCACACGGAATGGGGGTTTATTCCCGTCTCCGGCGGGATTCCCTGGGAAATTTTGGGATATTGGAGCAACCTGGACTAGCAGAAGGAGGTTGGAACTTGAGCAGCTTCCAGTTCCTTTCCAACCCAAAGCATTCCATGATTTCCTCATCCTCGTTCCCTTGGGGAAAGGAAAGACCTTGGGATACGGGAAGGCCGAAATTTTGGGAATGAAGGTCTGGGGGTGCCAAAGGTGCTTCCAACTCCCCTTTCCTGAGGGAGAAACCCCCGGCAGTCCCGACTGAGAAAAGAAAACCGGGATGGATCCGCGGGAAACATCCCGGAATTGGTGGTTTGGGATGGATTTCATCCCTCTTTTCCCGTGGATTCCTTGCCCAGGTCGCTGGAGCTGTGGGAAGGTGACATTCCCGAGGGGAATGGACAGGTGACATTCCTGGCTGTGTCCCAGGAATTCCCAGTGTCCCATGGCCCTGGAGTTGGGAATGTCCCAAATCCCTGGAGCTGGGGATGTCCCAAATCCTGGAGCTGGGAATGCCCCAAATTCCTGGAGCTGGGAATGTCCAGTGTCCCAAATCCCTGGAGGTGGGAACATCCTTAATCCCTGGAGTTGGGAATGTCCCAGATCCCTGGAGCTGGGAATGCCCCAAATCCTTGGAACTGGGAATGTCCAGTGTCCCAAATCCCTGGAGCTGGGAATGTCCTTAATTCCTGGAGTTGGGAATGTCCCAAATTCTTGGAGCCAGGAATGTCCTTAATCCTTGGAACTGCGAATGCCCAGTGTCCCGAATCCCTGGAACTGGGAACGTCCTTAATCCCTGGAGCTGGGAATGTCCCAAATTCTTGGAGCTGCAGGTGTCCCAAATCCCTGGGGCTGGGAATGTCCCAGATCCCTGGAGCTGGGAATGTCCTTAATCCTTGGAGCTGGGGGTGCCCAGTGTCCCAAACCCCTGGAGCCAGGAATGTCCATAATCCCTAGAACTGGGAACGTCCTTAATTCCTGGAGCTGGAGTGTCCCACATCCCTGGAGCTGTGAATGCCCCAAATCCTTGGAGTTGGGAATGTCCCAAATCCTGGAGCTGGGAATGCCCAGTGTCCCAAATCCCTGGATCTGGGAATGTCCTTAATCCTTGAAGCCAGAAATGTCCTTAATCCTTGGAGCTGGGAATGCCCAGTGTCTCAAATCCCTGGAGCTGCGAATGTCCCAAATCCCTGGAGCTGGGAATGCCCCAAATTCCTGGAGCTGGGAATGTCCCATGTTCCTGGAGTTGGGAATGTCCCAAATCCCTGGAGCTGGGAATGTCCTTAATCCTTGGAGCTGGGAATGCCCAGTGTCCCAATCCCTGGAGCCAGGAATGTCCCAAATCCCTGGAGCTGGGAGTGCCATCCCGTGTCCCTGCTGTCCCTGTGCCCCCCGTGTCCCGGCTGTTCCCCCTTGGCACAGGACGATCCCCGAGGTCCCGCTGCCACCACTTTGCCCCGTGCGGTGCCATCCGTGGGCTCGGATTGTCCCCTGTCCCCACCCCCGTGTCCCCTGCGCTGCCACCCCCGTGTGCCCTCTGTCCCTGGTGTCCCCACCCCTGTGTGCCCTGTGCTGCCATCCCCTGTGCCCTGTCCCGTGTCCCCAAAGTGTCCCCATCCCTGTGTCCCCATCCCTGTGTCCCCCCTGTGCTGCCACCCCTCTGTCACCACCCTTGGTGTCACCATCCCCGTGTCCCCACCCCTGTGTGCCCTCTGCTGCCATCCCATGTGCCCTCTGTCCCTGGTGTCACCGTCCCCGTGTCCCCACCCCTGTGTGCCCTGTGCTGCCATCCCCTGTGCCCTGTCCTGTGTCCCCGAAGTGTCACCATCCCTTTGTCACCATCCCTGTGTCCCCCTTGTGCTGCCACCCCTGTCACCACCCGTGTCTCCAATGTGCTGCCATTCCTGTGTCCCCAAAGTGTCCCCACCCCTGTGTCCCCTCTGCTGCCATGTCCACGTGCCCTCTGTCCGTGCTGTCACCACCCGTGTCCCCACCCCTGTGTGCCCTGTGTCACCACCCCTGTGTCCCCACCCCTGTGTGCCCTGTGTCACCACCCCTGTGTCACCACCCCTGTGTCTCCAATGTACTGCCATCCCCGTGTCCCCACCCCCATGGCCCCTGTGCTGCCATCCCCTGTGCCCTCTGTCCCTGGTGTCACCACCCCTGTGTCCCCACCCCTGTGTGCCCTGTGCTGCCATCCCCTGTGCCCTGTCCCGTGTCCCCATCCCTGTGTCCCCCCCTGTGCTTGGTGTCACCATCCCCCGTGTCCCCACCCCTGTGTCTGCCGCGTGCTGCCATCCCCGTGTCCCCTGTGTGCCACCATCCCTGTGTGTCCCCACGTGCTGCCATCCCCGTGTCCCCTGTGTGCCACCATCCCTGTGTGTCCCATGTCCCCTCTGTGCTGCCATCCCCGTGTCCCCACGTGCTGCCATCCCTGTCCCGTGTCCGCTGTGTCCCCATCCCCGGTGTCCCGTGTCCCCCTGTGCTGCCATCCCCGTGTCCCCTGTGTGCCAGCACCCCTGGTGCCCCGTGTCCCCCTGTGCTGCCATCCCCGTGTCCCTGTTCCCCTCCCATTTCCCCGCCCGCTCCTCCCCGTCCCACCCCCGTCCCTCCCGGTGTCCCCTCCCGGTGTCCCCTCCCTTGTCCCCGTGTCCCCGCCCCGCCAAGGCTCCTCCCGCCGCCGGGGCCCGGGAAAACAGCGGGGACACGGGAGAGGGAGGGACAGGGGTGGGTGGCACCCGGGACACACGGGAAGGAAGGGTGGCACACGGGGGACAGGGCACCAGGGACGGCAGCACGCGGGACACCAGGGGGGGTGGCACCCAGGGGACAACGGAGCACAGGGGTGGGGACACAGGGGACACGAAACACGGGGATGGCAGCACAGGGGGACACGGGACACCGGGGGTGGGGACACAGGGGACACTGGACAGGGATGGCAGCACGTGGGGACACAGGGATGGCGACAGAGCCAGGACACGGGACACAGAGGGGACACGGATACGGGGGTGGCAGCAGGGGGGGACACAGGGCACCAGGGATGGTGGCACACGGGGGGACATGGGAGAGGGACTTGGGGACAGGGAACTCCCCCCCGGAGACCAAATCCTGAGTGCACAGAAAGGGATCTTCCCACCAAATCAGCCCTGGGACATCCCTGGGACACCCCTGGGACACCCCTGGGACATCCCTGGGACATCCGGTGGGACATCCCTGGGACACCCTGAGGGACACTCCTGGGACAGCCCTGGCTGATCCTCTGCCTTCCCTATTCCAAGCTTGGTCTCTGTGGCCACATTCCCTCTCTTCCCATTCTGTTTGCATTCCCTGGAAGGTGGAGGCTGGTTCCAGGTTAATTCTGGATTCAGGTTAATCCTGGCTCCAGGGGGATCCTGGCTCTAGTGAAAAACCCTAATTCCAGTGAAAACCCAATTTCCAGTAAAAACCCTAATTCCAGTGGAAAACCCTAATTCCAGTGGAAAACCCTAATTCCAGTAAAACCCTAATTCGAGGGAAAACCCCTAATTCCAGTGTAAAACCCTAATTCCAATAAAAATGCGAAATTCCAGTAAAAACCCCAAATTCCAGTGAAAACCTTAATTCCAGTGTAAAACCATAATTCCACTGAAAACCCTAATTCCACTGAAAAACACTAATTCCACTGAAAAACCCCAAATTCCAGTGAAAACCCTAATTCCAGTGTAAAACCCTAATACCAGAGAAAAAACCCAAATTCCACTGAAAACCCTAATTCTGCTGAAAAACCCTAATTCCAGTGAAAACCCTAATTCCAGTGTAAAACCCCTAATTCCAGTAAAACCCCAAATTCCAGTGAAAACCCCTAATTCCAGTAAAAGCCCTAATTCCAGAGAAAAACCCTAATTCCAGTAAAAACCCTAATTCCAGTGTAAAACCCTAATTCCAGTAAAAGCCCCTAATTCCACTGAAAAACCCTAATTCCAGTGAAAACCCTAATTCCAGTAAAAACCCTAATTCCAGTGAAAACCCTAATTCCAGTGTAAAACCCTAATTCCAGTAAAAGCCCCTAATTCCACTGAAAAACCCTAATTCCAGTGAAAACCCTAATTCCACTGAAAAACCCTAATTCCATAGAAAACCTTAATTCCAGTAAAAACCCTAATTCCACTGAAAACCCCTAATTCCAGTAAAAACCCTAATTCCACTGAAAAACCCTAATTCCAGTAAAAACTCCAAATTTCAGTGAAAACCCTAATTCCAGTGTAAAACCCCTAATTCCAGTAAAACCCCAAATTCCAGTGAAAACCCCTAATTCCAAAAAACCCTAATTCCAGAGAAAAACCCTAATAAAGTAAAAACCCTTCCAATTCCAGTGAAAACCTAATTCCATGCCAGTGTAAAACCCTAATTCCAGTAAAAGCCCCTAATTCCACTAAAAACCCTAATTCCAGTGAAAACCCCTAATTCCAGTGTAAAACCCCTAATTCCCAGAAAAACCCTAATTCCAGTGTAAAACCCTAATTCCAGTAAAAGTAAAACCCTAATTCCAGTGTAAAACCCTAATTCCACCGAAAACCCCTTTGCAGCTCCAGCGGGAGGAAAATCCCCTGGAAGCTGAACCTCCCCATTCCCAGGGATCATTCCCACCCTCCGCGCTTTGGATCTTCCCAGCCCATTGCCAGGGAAGAGAATAATTAAGAGCTTAACGAACCCGCTGGTCGCTATTCCCAAAATCCCGACAGGCTGGAGCATCCCGTGGCGACGCTCCAGCCGCGGGCACCGTGTCCCCTTTGGAGAGAGGAAAAAACTCCAGGAAAACCGGGAATATTTCGCCGGAAGTTCCATATTATTTTTTTTTTTAGAGCAAAGCACCAAAAAATCCCGGAGTTGGTTGTGCCGGAGTAAAGGTTGTCCCGAGTTTTTTGGGAAAAGAGGAATGAAGAACGACTTGGGTGGACGAGGGGAGCGACCTGTGCCAGTGGAATTCCTGGAATTCCCCCCTGTCACCCCCAAGGATGTGATTCCCAATGTCTGGAGGGAATCCAAGCGAAACCACTTTGGTCCTGGCGCCGGGCACAGAAGCTCCCGGGGGTTCCTTCAGGGATTTATGGATCTTGAGGAGATTCCCCTTCTCCAGGATGGACAATCCCAGCTCTTCCAGCCTCTCCTGCTCCAATCCCTTCATCCAATCCCTTCATCCCTTCACGGCTCTTCCTTGGATTCTCTTCCTCTCTCCCGGACTGGGAAGCTCAAACCGGGCCCAGAACTCCAAGTGGGACTTATCCAAGTGGAAGGATTCCATAGGGATGGAATGCCAAGAAGATCCTCAACCGCGTGGCCCGAGCCACCGGGACGGATCCGAAGCCGGGTGGGAAAATTCCTGCACTAAACAGGGAAAAGAAAAAAAAGAGCCGGGAGAGGGGTTAAAGCTGCAAATCCGGGATTCCTGGAGGTGTCCCACGAGGTTTTGGGTGTCCCGCCGCTGGAATTCCATGTCCATGAATCCCCCAGTTCACGAATTTATTAAACTTCATGGAATATCGATTCCCACTGAATCCCGAAACTTTCCTGGACTTGGGGCAGGAAATCCAAAAGTGGTTTTTTTGTTTTTTTTTCCCATTTCTGCCCTCGGAATTCCGGTGTTTGGCACCGAACTTGGAAGCGGACGTGGAAAAAAAAAAACGGGATGGGAAGTGCTGAAGAGTCAAGTGGAAACCCCGAATCCCGCACGGAGTTTGCCGAAGGGAGGGAGCGGCAGGTGCTCCATCCTTCTTCTCCCAGTTTTCTTCTTCCAGGAATATCTGGTTTTAAAGGATATTTTCAGCTCGAGACGCCCGAGGGATGGCGGGAAAAAAGTGCTGGGTAAGGGAAGTGCAGATAATCGAGGGATTTAGAGGGAAAACCCCTCCTCCTGATCCATCTCAACCGGCTCCCGCCCGGTTTTCCCACTCCCCCAAATCCAGGCGAGGATGTTTTCAGGGAAGGGGAGGCTGCGGATTCCTTGTGCTCCCCGAAAAGCTGAGGATGAATCCCGGTGCTTTGGTCGCTGCTGGTCCTCGGCTTCGGAGGGACGGGAGAAAAGGAGGGTGGGAAGGGAAAAGGGCGGGATGGGACTGTGCGGAACGAGACGGGATCCGGGCGTCGATAATTCCAAAGTCCAGCTGTGCCCACGGGATAAAGCCTGGATTTCCCAAACCCGGGGATAGCGGGATACCAGGAGAGGTAAGAAGAGGCTCCCAAGTGCAGCTTGTTGCGTCCAGACTCGGCTTGTTCCCGAGGGGCCGGGAAGCGATCCCAGATTCCCGAGGCCGCTCCGGGTCACTTGTACAGGGCCATTTTCCGGCTCTGGAACAGGTACATGTAGGCGTCACAGAAGAGCCTTTTGGCCACTCCATCCATATCCCGGGGCTGCTCCAGGGCCAGCCCGGCCAAGGGCAATTCCAGGTATTTGGCGACCTCCGGGCACAGCGTCACCGCGGGAATGTTGAAGCCGCTTTCGCCACCTACGGCAGGGAAAAGGAGGGAAGGCCCGGCTCAGATCCCGAGGGATGAGCTCCTGCAGCTCCAGGAGATCCCGTCACGCTCGACAGCGGAGACACCTGGAGGTCAAAAGCGCTGGAAGAGGTTGGATGAGGGGAGAACATCCACATTCCAGAGCCTAAAGGGGCTCCGGGAGAGCTGGAGAGGGAATTGGGATGAGGGATGGAGGGACAGCACACAGGGAATGGCTTCCCACTGCCAGAGGGTTGGATGGGATACTGGGAAGGAATTCTTCCCTGGGAAGGTGGGGAGGGGCTGGAATGGAATTCCCAGAGAAGCTGTGGCTGCCCCATCCCTGGAAGTGTCCAAGGCCAGGTTGGAGCAACCTGGGATAGTGGGAGGAGTCCCTGCCCATGGAAATGGGGGTTGGAATTCCTTGACCTTCGAAATTCCCTTCCAACCCAAACCGTTCCATGATTTCCTGATAAGAACAAAGTCGGAAGGAGAGGAAAACAATCCATGCCCAGCTGGGAGTGGGTTTAAATCCCTGTGTTTGAACGTAGCCAGAGGATGGAATCACCTGGAAGAACTCCCACCATGGCTTGGCCATGGATGGAATCTCCTGGAAGAATTCCCACTTTGGCTTGGCCACACTCTTCTCTGGAATCTAATTCAGTGGGAGCAAGATCCAGAGAGAGACTAAACAGAACATGGAATTTCAGAGGGAAAAGGTGGATTTGCTTGAACGTATCCAGAGGATGGAAGCACCAGGAAGAACTCCCACCATGGCCTGGCCATGGATGGAAGCTCCTGGAAGAATTCCCACCTTGGCTTGGCCCTATTTTTTTGTGGAGTCTAATTCAATGGAAGAAAGATTCAGAGCGAGACTAAGCTGGACAGGGAATTTCAGAGGGAAAACATGGACTTGTCTGAACGTATCCAGAGGATGGAAGCACCTGGAAGAACTCCCACCCTGGTCTGGCCATGGATGGAAGCTCTTGGAAGAATTCCCGCCTTGGCTTGGCCATACTTTTTTCTGGAGTCTAATTCAATGGAAGCAAGATCTAGAGAGAGACTAAACTGGACAGGGAATTTCAGAGGGAAAAGGTGGATTTGCTTAAATGTATCCAGAGGATGGAAGCTCCTGGAAGAACTCCCGGGTTTGGCCTGGCCATGGATGGAAGAACCTGGAAGAACTCCCACCATGGCCTGGCCATGGATGGAAGTTCCTGGAAGAACTCCCACCTTGGCTTGGCCCTATTTTTTTCTGGAGTCTAATTCAATGGAAGAAAGATCCAGAGCGAGACTCAGCTGGACAGGGAATTTCAGAGGGAAAACATGGACTTGTCTGAACGTATCCAGAGGATGGAAGCTCCTGGAAGAACTCCCACCCTGGTCTGGCCATGGATGGAAGCTCCTGGAAGAACTCCCACCTTGGCTTGGCCCTATTTTTTTCTGGAGTCTAATTCAATGGGAGCAAGATCCAGAGAGAGACTAAGCTGGGCAGGGAATTTCAGAGGGAAAACGTGGATTTGCTTAAATGTATCCAGAGGATGGAAGCTCCTGGAAGAACTCCCACCTTGGCCTGGCCATGGATGGAAGCTCCTGGAAGAACTCCCACATTGGCTTGGCCCTATTTTTCTGGAATCTAATTCAATGGAAGCAAGATCCAGAGAGAGACTCAGCTGGGCAGGGAATTTCAGAGGGAAAAAGTGGATTTGCTTAAATGTATCCAGAGATGGAAGCTCCTGGAAGAACTCCCACCTTGGCCTGGCCATGGATGGAAGCTCCTGGAAGAACTCCCACCTTGGCCTGGCCATGGATGGAAGCACCAGGAAGAACTCCCACCTTGGCCTGGCCATGGATGGAAGCACCTGGAAGAACTCCCACCTTGGCCTGGCCATGGATGGAAGTTCCTGGAAGAACTCCCACCTTGGCTTGACCCTGTTTTTTTCTGGAGTCTAATTCAATGGAAGAAAGATCCAGAGCGAGACTCAGCTGGGCAGGGAATTCCAGAGGGAAAGGGTGTGCTGAGCAGCTCCCGGGAGCTTCCGGAATGCCGGCGCTCACCGTGCCGGTCGGCCATGCTGTCGAAGAACATCCAGTGCTCCTTCCCGGGGCCGTACTTGACGAAGGCCACGTAGTGACTGGTCTCGATGCAGAGCACGGCGAAGAGCTCCAGCTTCTCCCGAGGGATCGGCTGCCTCCGCCGGGAATTCCACCGCTGGAATTCCTCCGGGATGTGCAGCCGCGCCGGTTTGTGCGCCGTGCGTCGGTGATGGGAGTGAACCTGAGGGAGGGGATGGGAATGATCCTGAGGGGATGGGAAAGATCCTGAGGGGATGGGAATGATCCTGAGGGGATGGGAAAGATCCTGAGGGAGGGGATGGGAATGATCCTGAGGGAGGGGATGGGAATGATCCTGAGGGAAGGGACAGGAATGATCCTGAGGGAGGGGATGGGAATGATCCTGAGGGAGGGGATGGGAATGATCCTCAGGG